GCTGTAGCTGGTACTTGGACTTACAGACAGAGACAGCTGTAAATGGTACTTGGACTGACAGACAGAGACAGCCGTAGCTGGTACTTGGACTGACTACAACAGACAGACAGCTGTAGCTGGTACTTGGACTGACAGACAGAGACAGCTGTAGCTGGTACTTGGACTGACTACAACAGACAGACAGCTGTAGCTGGTACTTGGACTGACAGACAGACAGCCGTAGCTGGTAGTTGGACTGTCAGACAGAGACAGCTGTAGCTGGTACTTGGACTGACAGACAGAGACAGCTGTAGCTGGTACTTGGACTGACAGACAGAGACAGCTGTAGCTGGTACTTGGACCGACTACAACAGACAGACAGCTGTAGCTGGTACTTGGACTGACAGACAGAGACAGCTGTAGCTGGTACTTGGACTGACTACAACAGACAGACAGCCGTAGCTGGTACTTGGACTGACAGGCAGAGACAGCCGTAGCTGGTAGTTGGACTGTCAGACAGAGACAGCCGTAGCTGGTACTTGGACTGACAGAGACAGCTGTAGCTGGTACTTGGACTGACTACAACAGACAGACAGCCGTAGCTGGTACTTGGACTGACAGAGACAGCTGTAGCTGGTACTTGGACTGACAGAGACAGCTGTAGCTGGTACTTGGACTGACTACAACAGACAGACAGCCGTAGCTGGTACTTGGACTGACAGGCAGAGACAGCCGTAGCTGGTACTTGGACTGACAGACAGAGACAGCTGTAGCTGGTACTTGGACTGACAGACAGAGACAGCTGTAGCTGGTACTTGGACTGACTACAACAGACAGACAGCCGTAGCTGGTACTTGGACTGACAGGCAGAGACAGCCGTAGCTGGTACTTGGACTGACAGACAGAGACAGCCGTAGCTGGTACTTGGACTGACTACAACAGACAGACAGCCGTAGCTGGTACTTGGACTGACAGACAGAGACAGCTGTAGCTGGTACTTGGACTGACAGACAGAGACAGCTGTAGCTGGTACTTGGACTGACAGACAGAGACAGCTGTAGCTGGTACTTGGACTGACAGACAGAGACAGCTGTAGCTGGTACTTGGACTGACAGAGACAGCTGTAGCCGGTACTTGGACTGACTGACAGAGACAGCTGTAGCTGGTACTTGGACTGACTACAACAGAGACAGCCGTAGCTGGTACTAGGACTGACTACAACTGACAGAGACAGCTGTAGCTGGTACTTGGACTGACAGACAGAGACAGCCGTAGCTGGTACAACGTTCAGTCAACCACACACGATAGTGCCAGCCACGATAGAGACCAGTGCCACGGCTGGGTTCTAGTTGACTTCCTGGTACTGGAGATAAACAAATCATGTGGCTCTATGTGGAAGTGTAACATTGCTACGGTGGGGTGACACTATGATGTGGTGACACTATGATGTGGTGACACTATGATGTGGTGATACTGATGTGGTGACACTATGATGTGATGACACTATGATGTGGTGATACTGATGTGGTGACACTATGATGTGGTGACACTATGATGTGGTGACACTATGATATGGTGACACTTTGATGTGGTGACACTATGATGTGGTGACCCTATGATGTGGTGACACTGTGATGTGGTGACACTATGATGTTGTGACACTATGATGTGGTGACACTATGATGTGGTGACGCTATGATGTGGTGACACTATTATGTGTTGACACTATGATGTGCTGCCACTGATGTGGTGACACTATGATGTGGTGACACTATGATGTAGTGACACTGATGTGGTGATAGTGATGTGGTGACACTATGATGTGGTGACACTATGATATGGTGACACTATGATATGGTGACACTATGATGTGGTGATACTATGATGTGGTGACACTATGATGTGGTGATACTATGATGTGGTGATAGTGATGTGGTGACACTTTGATGTGGTGACACTATGATGTGGTGACACTATGATGTGGTGAAAGTGATGTGGTGACACTATGATGTGGTGACACTATGATGTGGTGATAGTGATGTGGTGACACTATGATGTGGTGACACTATGATGTGGTGAAAGTGATGTGGTGACACTATGATGTCGTGACACTATGATGTGGTGATAGTGATGTGGTGACACTATGATGTGGTGATACTGATGTGGAGCCACTGATGTGGTGACACTATGATGTGGTGACACTATGATGTGGTGACACTATGAAAGTCGTGACACTATGATGTGGTGATAGTGATGTGGTGACACTATGATGTGGTGACACTATGATGTGCTGCCACTGATGTGGTGACACTATGATGTGGTGACACTATGATGTGGTGACACTATGATGTGGTGACACTGATGTGGTGACACTATGATGTGGTGATAGTGATGTGGTGACACTATGATGTGGTGACACTATGATGTCGTGATACTATGATATGGTGACACTATGATATGGTGACACTTTGATGTGGTGATACTATGATGTGGTGACACTATGATGTGGTGATACTATGATGTGGTGACACTATGATGTGGTGATAGTGATGTGGTGACACTATGATGTGGTGACACTATGATGTGGTGATAGTGATGTGGTGACACTATGATGTGGTGACACTATGATGTGGTGAAAGTGATGTGGTGACACTATGATGTCGTGACACTATGATGTGGTGATAGTGATGTGGTGACACTATGATGTGGTGATACTGATGTGGAGCCACTGATGTGGTGACACTATGATGTGGTGACACTATGATGTGGTGACACTATGATGTCGTGACACTATGATGTGGTGATAGTGATGTTGTGACACTATGATGTGGTGACACTATGATGTGCTGCCACTGATGTGGTGACACTATGATGTGGTGACACTATGATGTGGTGACACTATGATGTGGTGACACTGATGTGGTGACACTATGATGTGGTGATAGTGATGTGGTGACACTATGATGTGGTGACACTATGATGTCGCGATACTATGTTATGGTGACACTATGATATGGTGACACTTTGATGTGGTGATACTATGATGTGGTGACACTATGATGTGGTGATACTATGATGTAGTGATAGTGATGTGTGGACACTATGATGTGGTGACACTATGATGTGGTGACACTATGATGTGGTGATAGTGATGTGGTGACACTATGATGTGGCGACACTATGATGTGGTGACACTAAGATGTGGTGATACTATGATATGGTGACACTATGATGTGGTGACACTGATGTGGTGACACTATGATGTGGTGACACTATGATGTGGTGATAGTGATGTGGTGACACTATGATGTGGTGACACTATGATGTGGTGACACTATGATGTGGCGATAGTGATGTGGTGACACTATGATGTGGTGACACTATGATGTGGTGATACTGATGTGGAGCCACTGATGTGGTGACACTATGATGTGGTGATACTATGATATGGTGACACTATGATGTGGTGACACTATGATGTCGTGACACTATGATGTGGTGACACTATGATGTGGTGACACTATTATGTGGTGACACTATGATGTGGAGCCACTGATGTGGTGATACTGATGTGGTGACACTATGATGTGTTGACACTATGATGTGGTGACACTATGATGTGGTGATAGTGATGTGAAGACACTATGATGTGGTGACACTATGATGTGGTGACACTATGATGTGGTGATACTATGATATGGTGACACTATGATGTGGTGACACTGATGTGGTGACACTATGATGTGGTGACACTATGATGTGGTGACACTATGATGTGGTGACACTATGATGTGGTGACACTATGATGTGGTGATAGTGATGTGGTGACACTATGATGTGGTGACACTATGATGTGGTGACACTATGATGTGGTGACACTATGATGTGGTGATACTGATGTGGAGCCACTGATGTGGTGACACTATGATGTGGTGATACTATGATATGGTGACACTATGATGTGGTGACACTATGATGTCGTGACACTATGATGTGGTGACACTATGATGTGGTGACACTATGATGTGGTGACACTATGATGTGGTGATACTGATGTGGAGCCACTGATGTGGTGACACTATGATGTGGTGATACTATGATATGGTGACACTATGATGTGGTGACACTATGATGTCGTGACACTATGATGTGGTGACACTATGATGTGGTGACACTATGATGTGGTGACACTATTATGTGGTGACACTATGATGTGGAGCCACTGATGTGGTGATACTGATGTGGTGACACTATGATGTGTTGACACTATGATGTGGTGACACTATGATGTGGTGATAGTGATGTGAAGACACTATGATGTGGTGACACTATGATGTGGTGACACTATGATGTGGTGATACTATGATATGGTGACACTATGATGTGGTGACACTGATGTGGTGACACTATGATGTGGTGACACTATGATGTGGTGATAGTGATGTGGTGACACTATGATGTGGTGACACTATGATGTGGTGACACTATGATGTGGTGATATTGATGTGGTGACACTATGATGTGGTGACACTATGATGTGGTGACACTATGATGTGGTGATACTGATGTGGAGCCACTGATGTGGTGACACTATGATGTGGTGATACTATGATATGGTGACACTATGATGTGGTGACACTATGATGTGGTGACACTATGATGTGGTGACACTATGATGTGGTGACACTATGATGTGGAGCCACTGATGTGGTGATACTGATGTGGTGACACTATGATGTGGTGACACTATGATGTGGTGATACTGATGTAACAATATGATGTGGCGACACTATTGTGGTGACATTGTGGTATGTCAGTGCCGTGTTATGATACTGTGTGGTGACAAGGTGTTTTGGTGACATGATGGTGACACTGTGGTGTTGTGACATGTAGACACTATCGTGTGGTGGCACTGACTTTGTTCCGATAACATAAGACAAAAAAGTTTTATTTTAAAATTCGAATCCTTTCACTTCTTAAAATAAGAGCGTCATTTATAATTTTTAAGTTTGAAGTTTTACCTTTGAGCTAAATCATTGTTCAGACCACACTGACGACTTTGACAACATTGACCAACTTGGTGTGTCAAAATAATCCAGTAAGAAATCCGAAGCACCCACGCGAGCAACACACGAGAAAATTCTTGGACCAACTATTTCATTCACTCCTGACCCGTTGCAAGTGATAAGACAACTTTTTAAATTTCGGCCATTTTTAACACTACGAAAAACTCGTGTAGGGAATTAAATTCGTCTATTTTCATATAAATAAATAAATAAATAAATACATAGTTTGTCTCTAATAACGTTTGAATGACCTCACATATTTTAAAATTCTTGTAAGAAGGTGAGTATAGCTAGTTGTACATTCGCACTTAAAGATAAACTGATGCAGAATTTGATGTCAGAAATGTAAACATCTACTTACTGGTGATACCCGCTAGTTAAAATTCTCTCCCATCGTCTGCCGAGTGAGCTGCATCCGTGTCAGCACGTGCAGTCAGCCGCCGTCACACTCGTCTGCCGTCAGTCGTCTGATGCAACTAGTCAAGGGAGGTAATGGCCGACCTTCTGTCCACTCTGGTCGCCACTTCTATTTTTAGCAACACAGCCATACCCCCACCACCCACCTAATTCTTCCACACACCCACGATTTCGTGGGCGGTCTACATTCATGACGTCACTCATACAATCCAACTGCTCCCACACAACTGTCCCCACACAACTGTCCCCACACAACTGTCCCCACACAACTGCTCCCACACAACTGTCCCCACACAACTGTCCCCACACAACTGTCCCCACACAACTGTCCCCACACAACTGTCCCCACACAACTGTCCCCACACAACTGTCCCCACACAACTGCCCCCACACAACTGCCCCCACACAACTGCCCCCACACAACTGTCCCCACACAACTGTCCCCACACAACTGTCCCCACACAACTGTCCCCACACAACTGTCCCCACACAACTGTCCCCACACAACTGTCCCCACACAACTGTCCCCACACAACTGCCCCCACACAACTGTCCCCACACAACTGCCCCCACACAACTGTCCCCACACAACTGTCCCCACACAACTGTCCCCACACAACTGTCCCCACACAACTGTCCCCACACAACTGTCCCCACACAACTGTCCCCACACAACTGTCCCCACACAACTGTCCCCACACAACTGTCCCCACACAACTGTCCCCACACAACTGCCCCCACACAACTGCCCCCACACAACTGCCCCCACACAACTGCCCCCACACAACTGTCCCCACACAACTGTCCCCACACAACTGTCCCCACACAACTGTCCCCACACAACTGTCCCCACACAACTGTCCCCACACAACTGCCCCGACACAACTGTCCCCACACAACTGTCCCCACACATTCCCCCCCCCACACAACTGTCCCCACACAACTGTCCCCACACAACTGTCCCCACACAACTGTCCCCACACAACTGTCCCCACACAACTGTCCCCACACAACTGTCCCCACACAACTGTCCCCACACAACTGTCCCCACACAACTGTCCCCACACAACTGTCCCCACACAACTGTCCCCACACAACTGTTCCCACACAACTGTCCCCACACAACTGTCCCCACACAACTGCCCCCACACAACTGTCCCCACACAACTGTCCCCACACATTCCCCCCCCCCACACCTGTCCCCACACAACTGCTCCCACACAACTGTCCCCACACAACTGTCCCCACACAACTGTCCCCACACAACTGTCCCCACACAACTGTCCCCACACAACTGTCCCCACACAACTGCCCCCACACAACTGCCCCCACACAACTGTCCCCACACATTCCCCCCCCCCCCCACACAACTGCCCCCACACAACTGCCCCCACACAACTGTCCCCAAACAACTGCCCCCACACAACTGCCCCCACACAACTGTCCCCACACAACTGCCCCCACACAACTGCCCCCACACAACTGCCCCCACACAACTGTCCCCACACATAATTGTGGCTGTGATTACAGGATATTTGTGGCTGTTAGGTGGGTGGCATATATTTGTCGAGATGCCATGTTAAACAGCTAAAAAAAGCGGGAAAAATACACGGACACAAGCTTGGCTAAACACCGTCTAATTTTCATTGAGAAATGTGCTCTGACGTCACAAGATCTGCGGACGACAACCCAGACCAGTGAGCCAATGGTCAAGGGCTCTTGTGAGGCCAGGCTTAATTTTCCCGCTCATTTGCGGCAGGAAATGATCCTGATGGTGTCGCTGGGGGCGGGTCGTCGGGGCGTGCGTCTCCATTCAACTTATCAGGGGGGGGGGGTGGGATGTGCGTCTCCATTCAACTTATCAGGGGGGGGGGTGGGATGTGCGTCTCCATTCAACTTATCAGGGGGGGGGGGTGGGGGGAGTGGGATGTGCGCCTCCATTCAACTTATCGTGGGGGGGGGGGGGTGAGAAGAGTTTCTTCCAGGCATCTCTTCGGGCGGGCTTCGCCCTCCCCCCCCCCCGAAAACATTCTACCGCCCGCCCCCCCCCCCCCCCGAACGAAATGAAATTTATATACTTTATATAGAAAATATATACTTTTAATAGTGTCCCCCCCCCCCCCGAAGAAAGTCTAGCGCCCCCCCCCCCCGAAAATTTCAAGTGCCCCCCCCCCCCCCGGAGAAAAGGGTCTGGAAGAAACACTGGGGGTGGGATGTGCATCTCCATTCAACTTATCATAGGGGGGGGGGGTGGGGGGTGGGATGTGCGTCTCCATTCAACTTATCGGCGCCTATGAAATGGTTTCACAAAACATTTTTTTTTCAAATGTAATTTTTCAAAATTATGTTTTACACTATAATTTAAAATAAATCGGGAGTGATTTCCCCTAAACTTTCTCTTATCTAATATATAAAGCTCAATTCTGTATGTTGACATACTTAGATGGATTTAAGTGTTAGATAATTAAAGTCCTTATGGTCTAAATTTATGAGTTAAAAAATTACTGTTGAAAGTGTTGGGAAAAAGTTTTAATTTTTCAAACTCATAGTAATAATTGTCGGCATGTTCATTAAACACAATTTAAAAAAAATTACAAAAATTCTAATTATGTCTGAAAATTATTTATATTTAGTCCTATAGCACTTACTTCCCTTTGATAAATTAGGAAAACACAATTACTTCCCTTTATAAAACCATTGCATTAGTGGAAAAGAATTTACTTTTTATTACTTTGTTTTGGTGTTGGGAAAAAAATAATTACATAATTAGCGGGGATTGATCAAGTGCAAATGTTGTAGGTATTTTACGGATAAGCTTGGAGTATTATAATTGTTCATTAAATTGAAACAGGCGCGTTCGTTTAAGTGAGTGCAAAAGACTATGAATAAGTTGGGGTACTATAGTCGTTTATTAAGCTAAAACAGGCGATTCCGCCCCGGGCTAGACTGTGAGCACTTTACGTTTATGTTCGCGTTAATGTTTTCTTTGTGTTAAGGTTGGGTTTGCGTTAGTGGTTGCGGTTTGATGTGGTTCGTTTTTGTTCTTTCTTTTTTCGTTTTTGTTTGTGTTTTTTTCTTTGGGTTTGTATTTGTGTTTTTGGTTGGTTTTGCGTTTGCGTTTGGATTTGGTTTGTTTTCGTTTGCTTTTTCGTTTTTTTTGTGTGTGTTGTTATTGGTTGGTATTGGTGTTTGTGGTTGTGGTTGGGTTTGTTGTTAGGTTTTTGTTTTCGTTTGTATTTGTAATTGTGTTAGCGTTATGTTTGCGTTTTGTTGTTTTGGTTGGTTGTGGTTTGGGTGAGCAATGCCGGGTTTATGATGATGATTACTAAACACACAGGTAATGGTCTTTAACAGAAAGGTTTTTCATAGAAGCCAGAGCAGGGCCTGGCCGGGACGGCTAGATCTTATATAAAAGGTAGGGTGTGGCACTTTCAGCGCAAAATTATTAGTAGTTGTATTAATATTTTTAAAAATAGAATAGAATCGAGCAGGGGCGTAGGGGGGGGGGGGGGGTGGACCGCACCGGGTGACACCATTTAAGGGGATGACACCAAGGCAAAAAATAGTATATAGAGAAAAATGATAATTCCACTTAATTAAGTGATTAATTCAATTGTTAAATAGTCTTTTAAGAGGTTCAAATCGAAAGTTTGAGGGAGGGGTGGGGGTGCAAATCGAAAATTGAAAGTTTCTCCTCGGGAAGGGTCGCTACGCCGCTGGGGGGGGGGGGGGGGTGACACCATTAAGTGCCGCACCGGGTGACACCCGACCTCGCTACGCCACTGGAATCGAAAAAAAAAAATAAGCGCGCATCAAAATAAACGTGAGTGTTGTGTGCATAATTGAGCGGGAAATGAGTACTTTATAAATGACACATTGACTCATTGTTCCAAAATGAAACAAACATCTAAATAAGTCACCTTTTATGTCACAGTGCATTGTCATCGATTCTTGACCTGCGTGAAACACATCGGTCCGGCAGAAGTGATATTTTTTGAGAAATGGGAAACACCGTAAAGAACTACTTCCGTTGAGAAATCACTCAAAAGTTGACAGAATCAAGAAAATAAGATCTTATATCATGTACTTAATTTCGTTGAACTAACTGAAATAGTACGTATGTTATCTGTATTTTAGAAACCGGAAATAGAGTAAGGTACCACTTCCCGATATTGGAGGTCATTCAAATTTTGAGAAGAATCAAACTGTAAGATATTATAATTATATAATTTCGTGTACCTAATTAAAACAGTACTTAAGTAATCGTATTCACACAGATACAGTAAGTCACTTTATGTTACCGGAAATCGTCAAAAGGTTATGTTAGATGACAACAGGTTGTGTTAGATGACAACAGGTTGTGTTAGATGACAACAAACGGTTGTGTTAGATGACAACAGGTTGTGTTAGATGACAACAAACGGTTGTGTTAGATGACAACAGGTTGTGTTAGATGACAACAAACGGTTGTGTTAGATGACAACAAACGGTTGTGTTAGATGACAACAGGTTGTGTTAGATGACAACAGGTTGTGTTAGATGACAACAGGTTGTGTTAGATGACAACAGGTTGTGTTAGATGACAACAGGTTGTGTTAGATGACAACAGGTTGTGTTAGATGACAACAGGTTGTGTTAGATGACAACAGGTTGTGTTAGATGACAACAGGTTGTGTTAGATGACAACAAATGGTTGTGTTAGATGACAACAGGTTGAGTTCGATGACAACCGGTTGTGTTAGATGACAACAGGTTGTGTTATATGACAACTAATGGTTGTGTTAGATGACAACAGGTTGTGTTAGATGACAACAGATTGTGTTAGATGACAACAGGTTGTGTTAGATGACAACAATTTTGTCTGACTTACTTGTTGTATGAAAACAGACTGGGAGACTGTCTAGTTTACCTGAAGACGTTTCTTTAAACTCTATCCAGCAAAATGTTTGCATCCTGTGAGAAATCAATCGAAATGTATACATTAATTTATAAAATGCTAAGTTATCAATGAAATGCAGAGATAAATAAATTAATAATTTTTTTTCTCGAGGTGGCATATTAATTAATATCCTACATTTGAATTAGAATTTTGAACAATTGACCAATCATCCTCTTGTGTTGGCACGTTGCCTGTATGTCGCAGTTGGACAGGTGGTCAACATCCAACCTAGGTGATAAACTAGTCTAGTCTAGTCTAGTCTAGTCTAGTCTAGTCTAGTCTAGTCTAGTCTAGTCTAGTCTAGTCTAGTCTAGTCTAGTCTAGTCTAGTCTAGTCTAGTCTAGTCTAGTCTAGTCTAGTCTAGTCTAGTCAACTCTAGTCTAGTCTAGTCTAGTCTAGTCTAGTCTAGTCTAGTCTAGTCTAGTCTAGTCTAGTCTAGTCTAGTCTAGTCTAGTCTAGTCTAGTCTAGTCTAGTCAACTCTAGTCTAGTCTAGTCTAGTCTAGTCTAGTCTAGTCTAGTCTAGTCTAGTCTAGTCTAGTCTAGTCTAGTCTAGTCTAGTCTAGTCTAGTCTAGTCTAGTCTAGTCTAGTCTAGTCTAGTCTAGTCTAGTCTAGTCTAGTCAACTCTACTCTAGTCTAGTCTAGTCTAGTCTAGTCTAGTCAACTCTACTCTAGTCTAGTCTAGTCTAGTCTAGTATAGTTTGGTAGCAGGAGATATAAACGATATATATATATATATATATATATATATATATATATATATATATATATATATATATATATATATATATATATATATATATATATATATATATATATACGAAAATATCATTTTTAAAAAAATATCAATGTACATACCTATGTCTATTTCTGATAACGCCATATATTTTATCACACAAGGAGGGTCAGAGAATCCACAAGGATGAAGAAAAAGACGGAAACACAATAGCATGGCTCAAAGAAATTGAAAAAAAGGACATTACAATGTTCGGGAAAAGTCTGAAAAAAAATGAAAAAAAAAATACACACAAGTATGGAAGTATGCTGTAACTGGCCTATGGTTCCCCGGGAGCCGAAGAAGAAGAAGATCTGTGTCTATGCACCTCCCCTAATGTCCCCATCAAATGTGGCATGTGTGTACATGGAGAGACAACTTGACAGATTCAGTGCAAGCCAGGTGCAGCAGAGTTGTCGATAATGGTTGTACATGACAAAACGAAACATCTGTGCTAACGTTTGCTTCTACTAAACAGGGAGATGAGGGCGCTTTAATTGTCTGCTGTACAGGCAACAGGTATGTTAACATCTACATATGCTCTGATATGATGGTGGGGGGAGGGGTGGTACAGGGGGAGTAGTTTTACAGGTGGGGGGTGTGAGATGGGGTGGTTAGGGGATGATATATGGCAATATTGCAAATACTGGTGGTTAGGGGATGATATATGGCAATATTGCAAATACTGGTGGTAACAGCTGGTTATATGACGTCACAAAACGTTATAGTATATTGGGAGTGGGTTGAAATATTTTAAATTTTGTTGTACATTTTGTGCATGATCCTTGCAAACGGTCAACTGTAGGGACAGTTGGAGGCTGTAGTGACCAGTGTGACGTAGTAAGGGTTTAGGGTCACGGGGACAGTTGGAGGCTATAGTGACCAGTGTGACGTAGTAAGGGTTTAGGGTCACGGGGACAGTTGGAGGCTATAGTGACCAGTGTGACGTAGTAAGGGTTTAGGGTCACGGGGACAGTTGGAGGCTATAGTGACCAGTGTGACGTAGTAAGGGTTTAGGGTCACGGGGACAGTTGGAGGCTGTAGTGACCAGTGTGACGTAGTAAGGGTTTAGAATCACGGGGACAGTTGGAGGCTATAGTGACCAGTGTGACGTAGTAAGGGTTTAGGGTCACGGGGACAGTTGGAGGCTATAGTGACCAGTGTGACGTAGTAAGGGTTTAGGGTCACGGGGACAGTTGGAGGCTATAGTGACCAGTGTGACGTAGTAAGGGTTTAGGGTCACGGGGACAGTTGGAGGCTATAGTGACCAGTGTGACGTAGTAAGGGTTTAGGGTCACGGGGACAGTTGGAGGCTATAGTGACCAGTGTGACGTAGTAAGGGTTTAGGGTCACGGGGACAGTTGGAGGCTGTAGTGACCAGTGTGACGTAGTAAGGGTTTAGGATCACGGGGACAGTTGGAGGCTATAGTGACCAGTGTGACGTAGTAAGGGTTTAGGGTCACGGGGACAGTTGGAGGCTATAGTGACCAGTGTGACGTAGTAAGGGTTTAGGGTCACGGGGACAGTTGGAGGCTATAGTGACCAGTGTGACGTAGTAAGGGTTTAGGGTCACGGGGACAGTTGGAGGCTATAGTGACCAGTGTGACGTAGTAAGGGTTTAGGGTCACGGGGACAGTTGGAGGCTATAGTGACCAGTGTGACGTAGTAAGGGTTTAGGGTCACGGGGACAGTTGGAGGCTATAGTGACCAGTGTGACGTAGTAAGGGTTTAGGGTCACGGGGACAGTTGGAGGCTATAGTGACCAGTGTGACGTAGTAAGGGTTTAGGATCACGGGGACAGTTGGAGGCTATAGTGACCAGTGTGACGTAGTAAGGGTTTAGGGTCACGGGGACAGTTGGAGGCTATAGTGACCAGTGTGACGTAGTAAGGGTTTAGGGTCACGGGGACAGTTGGAGGCTATAGTGACCAGTGTGACGTAGTAAGGGTTTAGGGTCACGGGGACAGTTGGAGGCTGTAGTGACCAGTGTGACGTAGTAAGGGTTTAGGATCACGGGGACAGTTGGAGGCTGTAGTGACCAGTGTGACGTAGTAAGGGTTTAGGATCACGGGGACAGTTGGAGGCTATAGTGACCAGTGTGACGTAGTAAGGGTTTAGGATCACGGGGACAGTTGGAGGCTATAGTGACCAGTGTGACGTAGTAAGGGTTTAAGATCACGGGGACAGTTGGAGGCTGACCAGTGTGACGTAGTAAGGGTTTAGGATCACGGGGACAGTTGGAGGCTATAGTGACCAGTGTGACGTAGTAAGGGTTTAGGATCACGGGGACAGTTGGAGGCTATAGTGACCAGTGTGACGTAGTAAGGGTTTAGGGTCACGGGGACAGTTGGAGGCTATAGTGACCAGTGTGACGTAGTAAGGGTTTAGGGTCACGGGGACAGTTGGAGGCTGTAGTGACCAGTGTGACGTAGTAAGGGTTTAGGATCACGGGGACAGTTGGAGGCTGTAGTGACCAGTGTGACGTAGTAAGGGTTTAGGGTCACGGTGGTGACAAGAGCGGCACCAATACAAGGAATATATTGTGTGAGACGGGGGGGGGTAGGGGGGACCGGCTGGGGAGTTGCATGTAGACTCTGAATTGCGAGGGTTACTGAATTGTGAGGGTTACTGAATTGTGAGGGTTACTGAATTGTGAGGGTTACTGAATCGTGAGGGTTACTGAATTGTGAGGGTTACTGAAAATTGAGGGTGAGTGAATTGTGAAAGTCAGTGAATTCTAACTTTTCTTCTAGACTTTAGAAACCTGGTTCTGGGTGATCATACGTGGAACAGTTTGAGAAGTTTAAAATGTCCGCACTGAAATAGACTTTCTATTACTTATTTAAAAAATGTCCTGAATTAAGTAGACTTTCTATTACTTATTTAAAAAATGTCCTGAATTAAGTAGACTTTCTATTATTTAAAAAAAATTCCTAATTGAAGTAGACTTTCTATTATTTAAAAAAAAAATCCTAATTGAAGTAGACTTTCTATTATTTTCAAAAAATTTCCTGAATGAAGCAGACTTTCTATTATTTTCAAAAAATTTCCTGAATGAAGCAGACTTTCTATTATTTTCAAAAAATTTCCTGAATGAAGCAGACTTTCTATTATTTTCAAAAAATTTCCTGATGCAGGCGTAGGTAACCGAGGCAAGCGGAATGTTTTTACCTCATAAAGTGGGACGATTATCTCCCCATTAATTTAGCTTCTAACAGGTTGGCGGTCCAGTACAGTGTTCAGGTGTTGTGTTCAGGTGTTGTGTTCAGGTGTTGTGTTCATCCCTGTTGTGTTTGGTGTCTGAGACTACCGCGAGGTTAAACAACCGCTGGCTAAGGTTAAGAGAGGAGTTTACATTGTGTTTGGTTCTTCTATTTCATCGACGTCAAGGTAGGTAGGGGGGGGGGTAGTGTATGTGGGTGTATGTGTTTTAGTGTGATGTGATTATATGTATATGTAGGTGTGTCAGTTTGTGTATGACAGTTTGCGTGTGTTTTTGTGAATTCAATTTTGTTTGTTTGCGTGTATATATATATATATATATATATATATATATATATATATATATATATATATATATATATATATATATATATATGCATGTGTGCGCGTGTAGGCCTATGTTTCGTACTTTTTAAGTTTATTTGATACACACGTTTTTGATTGTTTATTAAAAGTGTAAAAATTCAATGTTGCATTAACTCGAGTCACGCTGTTGTTGTAGGTATTGTTGTTGTTGTTATTATTGTAGGTATCGTTGTTGTAGGTATTCTTGCTGTTGCTGGTATTTTTGACATAGCCTGACGTTATTTTAGTGCTTACCAAAGTTGATGTTCTGAATGTGTTCGAATGGTGAGCTCAACCACTTCATACAGGTGGAACAAGGGAAACAACCAACACACTGGTGTTTTTCTAACAAATAGAATACAAAGGTCAGTATCCACGGGACTTGGTCAGTCTAGACGTGGATAATCTGGACATGGACAATCTAGACGTGGATAATCTGGACATGGACAATCTAGACGTGGATAATCTGGACATGGACAATCTAGACGTGGATAATCTGGACATGGACAATCTAGACGTGGATAATCTGGACATGGACAATCTAGACGTGGATAATCTGGACATGGACAATCTAGACGTGGACAATCTAGACGTGGACAATCTAGACGTGGATAATCTGGACATGGACAATCTAGACGTGGATAATCTGGACATGGACAATCTAGACGTAGACAATCTAGACATGGACAATCTAGACGTGGACAATCTAGACATGGTCAGTCTAGGGTTAGGGTTAGGTCAGTCTAGACGTGGACAATCTAGACGTGGATAATCTAGACGTGGACATCTAGAAGTGGTCAAGCTATTAGCAAACTGCAAACAGAATAAGACAGAGGAGCAAATTACTAAGACAAGCTGTCTTAAAGTAAATAAAACAGAGTCGGAGATTCCTTCAACATTCAAGGGAGAGTACCGAGACAATTTATGCCCGCCGCACGAAGAGTTGTGTCCCATGCAAGACGGATGATTGAGTGAGGGGCGATAACCCCAGCTAGGTACTAGAGCTGTCACTAATGTCATGCGCACACGCTACTAAATCTCCAACTTCCTGTCTGTGAGCCACACACCGACTTCCGTATGCGATCTTCAGACTTCCACCAACATTGACAGGTTAGTGACGTGTCGATGACGCGGGGATGAGGTCATACGTCACTAACAGTGGTGTTGACGTAAAGATAAAATAACACGTCCTTTCCTTGATGAATCATTAATTAATTAATTAATTAATTAAAGGATCTTGACTCAGGACCCGTGTGTAGCTGTAGCCTGTGGTAGGTGCAGTAGACACAACTAGCTGAGGACATTGAACCAACCTTTGGGAACCTCTGGAAGAATTTGGTTCTTTGAGGGCGTCATCTAGTTTAAGTTGTGTCATGTAGGTTGTTGTGGTGGTCGTACCTCTTGTGTAGGTTGTTGTGGTGGTCGTACCTCTTGTGTAGGTTGCTGTGGTGGTCGTACCTCTTGTGTAGGTTGCTGTGGTGGTCGTACCTCTTGTCATGTAGGTTGTTGTGGTGGTCGTACCTCTTGTCATGTAGGTTGCTGTGGTGGTCGTACCTCTTGTGTAGGTTGCTGTGGTGGTCGTACCTCTTGTGTAGGTTGCTGTGGTGGTCGTACCTCTTGTGTAGGTTGCTGTGGTGGTCGTACCTCTTGTCATGTAGGTTGCTGTGGTGGTCGTACCTCTTGTGTAGGTTGCTGTGGTGGTCGTACCTCTTGTGTAGGTTGCTGTGGTGGTCGTACCTCTTGTCATGTAGGTTGCTGTGGTGGTCGTACCTCTTGTGTAGGTTGCTGTGGTGGTCGTACCTCTTGTGTAGGTTGGTGTGGTGGTCGTACCTCTTGTCATGTAGGTTGCTGTGGTGGTCGTACCTCTTGTGTAGGTTGATGTGGTGGTCGTACCTCTTGTGTAGGTTGCTGTGGTGGTCGTACCTCTTGTGTAGGTTGCTGTGGTGGTCGTACCTCTTGTGTAGGTTGCTGTGGTGGTCGTACCTCTTGTGTAGGTTGCTGTGGTGGTCGTACCTCTTGTGTAGGTTGCTGTGGTGGTCGTACCTCTTGTGTAGGTTGCTGTGGTGGTCGTACCTCTTGTGTAGGTTGCTGTGGTGGTCGTACCTCTTGTGTAGGTTGCTGTGGTGGTCGTACCTCTTGTGTAGGTTGCTGTGGTGGTCGTACCTCTTGTGTAGGTTGCTGTGGTGGTCGTACCTCTTGTGTAGGTTGCTGTGGTGGTCGTACCTCTTGTCATGTAGGTTGCTGTGGTGGTCGTACCTCTTGTCATTAGTGTGTGTGTTGGTCACATTGGGTGTGTGTGTGTTGGTCACATTGAGTGTGTGTGTGCCGGTCGCATTGAGTGTGTGTGTGTGTGTGTGTTGATCACATTGAGCGTGTGTGTTTGTCGCATTGTGTATGTGTGTCGGTATAAACATCACTTAGAGCAGATTTTTTACATCTCAAGACATGTCAAGGAAACGTGACGTCTTGGGCTAAAAATAGACTGGACCCGGTCGACTTCTCTGGTCACGTGACGGCCTTTAATATTTGGAGTTTTTTTTTGTCTAGGGCTTTTTATTGTTTGGGTCTATTGCAGGTTTCATTCAGGCTTGTCTAGTTTGTGGATTTTATGTCAGGGTTTTGTTGTCAATTGTTTTTTGTTTCTGTGAGGTTTCTGTCTGTATGTTGTGTGGCGATTGTGTGGTGATTGTGTGGCGATTGTGTGTCGATTGTGTGGCGATTGTGTGGCGATTGTGTGGCGATTGTGTGGCGATTGTGTGGTTTACTGTTGGAATAATTGTCCGAGTGACGAAATGAATAATGAATGTTTGTTAGTGGGCGAAGCTGCAGCTTCTGACAGTTTTGACAGAGAGGGGGTGGGGATGGGGGGGGGGGGTGTCTGAGTGTCTGTATAAAACTTACGACTTTCTCCGCTGTCAGATTTCTACACACATCTCCGCGTGTCACGTGGATTTACGAGCTACACAGTCTTGGATTTGTTGGTTAGCGGTTTTTTTTTTTTGGTGACACACCTGTATGAAAACATGTGACACACACATGTGGGTTACTGTAGTATCTATTGGATACCTTTACTAATATTTAGGAAGATACCCACGCTTTTCTTTATAGTTATTTAAATAGTAGTGTATCATTTATTTTCTACTTTTTAGTGCATTATTACATAAAAGCTTGTTATTAAAACGTTTTTATGACATTTTTTTTTAGTACTTGATATGTTTTTATTTGCAATAGTTACATGACTAAAAACTATTGCGAACCTATTGAACGTGATGACGCGCTATTGAAAGTGATGACGCGTGTGGGTTAGTTGGATAAGTCTACCTACTAATTTGGTCAAAATTAATTTTAATTAACTCATAAAAAATTAATTAGGCATCCAATTAAGTCAAATTAAATGTCATGTTGCATTGTCTTCATGTCTTGACGCACGTACCAACTACGAAATGTATCTGTCAGTTAGAAGGGTCCGTGAAGTGTCCGTAATTGCGCTCGGGCGTTTCGATTTAGACTGACGACAGACTGACGAGGAAGTGAGTTAAATAAAAGCTTGTAAATTTTTTTCATAAAAACGTTTTAATAGCAAGCTTTTATGTAATAATGCACTAAAAAGTAGAAAATAAATTATACACTACTATTTAAATCACTATAAAGAAAAGCGTGGGTCACTTTAGTATCTATTGGATACCTTTACTATGTTTAGGAAGAGACCCACGCTTTTCTTTATAGTTATGTAAATAGTAGTGTATAATTTATTTTCTACTTTTTAGTGCATTAGTACATAAAAGCTTGTTATTAAAACGTTTTTTATGAAAAATTTTTTTAGTACTTTACATGTTGTTATTTACAATAGAGTTTCATGACTAAAAACAATTGCGCGCCTATTGAACGTGATAAAGCGCTATTGAACGTGATGATAGAAATGCCTACTAATTTGGTCAAAATTTAAATTAATACATAAAAAATTAATTAGGCATCCAATGAGTCAAATTTAATTTCAGATTGCATTGTCTTCATGTCTTGACCCACGTGCCAACTGTGAACCGTATCTGTCAAGAGGAAGTGTCCGAATTTTCGCTCGGCTGTTTCGATCTAGACTGACGACTGACGAGGAAGTGAGTTAAATTAAAGCTCGTAAAAATCATGTCTATATCCCGAGTTCCCATCCCATGATGTTTTATATAAGAATATTCGAGAAAGTTTAGGGGAGATCACTCCCGGTTTATTCTATCCGTTGTACAAACACCCTTTAATACAATTGGAGGTTTCTTTGTAAACTACGGTCTTTGTACATACTGAACGCATTATTGTAATAAATCCTAATGCCTTTAAAATGTATTTAAAAAATAATTAAAACCCGAAAAACACCGCATAATGCACGCAATTTTGTGATCTATTTTTCCGAATGACTTTATTTCTGTGTATTTTTCCGTATGACTTTATTTCTGTGAATTTTTCCGTATGATTTTATTTCTGTGGATTTTTCCGTATGATTTTATTTCTGTGTATTTTTCCGTATGACTTTATTTCTGTGAATTTTTCCGTATGACTTTATTTCTGTGAATTTTTCCGTATGATTTTATTTCTGTGGATTTTTCCGTATGATTTTATTTCTGTGTATTTTTCCGTATGACTTTATTTCTGTGAATTTTTCCGTATGACTTTATTTCTGTGAATTTTTCCGTATGACTTTATTTCTGTGAATTTTTTCCGTATGACTTTATTTCTGTGAACTGTTTCCAGTCATTATTTAATTTATTTGCGTGTGTGTGTGTGTGTGTGTGAATTTCCCTGTGATTTTTTTATTTATTTCTCAACTCTGTTCGCCAGACCACATAACAGACACATGGCAGACAGGGGTGTACACATGGCAGACAGGGGTGTACACATGGCAGACAGGGGTGTACACATGGCAGACAGGGGTGTACACATGGCAGACAGGGGTGTACACATGGTATGCATCACCTGGGCACCACACCTGTATGTCACCTGTATGTCAACTACATGTCACCTGCCAGACGAACACGACATGGATTATTTCGTCATTATGTTCGCGCCACTTCTGTCGTCAATATCCGCAACTAATTCAAGATTAATGTCCCTTTGTTCTAAATTTAGCCTGCCACTCCATGACGTCATAGCATGAGTCAGACCACGAGTCGCTCGCTCCATCTTTGTCAGACCGGGTTCTAATCCACTCCACTCTCACACGGTTGTCTGTTTTTTTCAGAACTGCTCTCAGCCTTGAACTTGGCCACACGTGCAAGCAGACGTAACTTGGATTCTAAAATTAGATCATTGACTCACACACAACAGAAGCACGTGATACCCACTGATGATGAAACTCCACATGTCAAGGTCGACTCACCTGTCCCCGTGTCTCCTCTTATTGGTCAGTCTGCTGACCTTGAGGTCACAGGTCATGTCCTTCAAATACCACGACTTCTGCCTGACCCCGCCCATAGACATGAAGACCAGGTTCCCCCTGTACCGCCTTGATGTGGACACAAAAACTGAGGGGGTGCCCTGGGCCTACCGTCAGAACAACACCCTCACAGGTAAGTCGTTCATCAGGCAAGTCTGTCTAATGAACATTTCTAATCACTGACCTAATTAGCACATTCTTATCAACAATTCTAATCACTGACCTCATTAGCAAATTCTTATCAACATTTCAAAACACTGACCTAATTAGCAAATTCTCATTAACATTTCTAATCACTGATCCCATTCGCAAATTCTTATCAACATTTCAAATCACTGACCTAATTAGCAAATTCTCATGAACATTTCAAATCACTGACCTAATTAGCAAATTCTTATCAACATTTCAAATCACTGACCTAATTAGCAAATTCTCATGAACATTTCAAATCACTGACCTAATTAGCAAATTCTTATCAACATTTCAAATCACTGACCTAATTAGCAAATTCTTATCAACATTTCAAATCACTGACGTAATTAGCAAATTCTCATTAACATTTCTAATCACTGACCCCATTCGCAAATTCTTATCAACATTTTATATCACTGACCTAATTAGCAAATTCTTATGAACATTTTAATTCACTGACCTAATTAGCAAGTCCAATGAAAATTTTAAAATCTCCGCCTGAATTAGGCATGTCTAATTAAAATTTTAAAATGGACGCCAGATTAGGGAAGTTAAATTAACATATTTAAATCGTCACACCAATTAGGTTGGTTTTATTCCAATTTTATCTCTTGTGACGTTTTGAATTCAGTCAGATGTCATATTCAGTCAGATGTCATATTCAGTCAGATGACATTAACTTGATTGATTGAATGACAGTTTGAATAAAGCAAATGTGTTTGGTGTGTTGAGCATCAAATATCAATTATTGTCTCAACCATCACGCATCAAATAATGTCACAAACATAAAATATCAAATAATGTCACAAACATCAAGTATCAAGTAATGTCACAAACATCAAATATCAAATAATGTCACAAACATCAAATATCAATTAATGTCACAAACATCAAATATCAAATAATGTCACAAACATCAAATATCAATTAAAATAATTTAATGTAGACTTGGACTTTACGGCTGAAAACATTTTCTTCAATTAGAGCCGGTTTAAAAAAAAACAAATTGTCACTGTCAAATTGTCACTGTCAAACTGTCGCTGTCAAACGGTCACTGTCAAACTGTCACTGCCATATTGTCACTGTCATGCTGTCACTGTCATACTGTCACACTTGCCACAGTTTACACAAAAACTAACACATGACACTTACACACTTCTATGACAGACAATAAGAAACATACAAACACATTGTTTACGTGCAAGATATCATCATGTTGTAAACTAACATCCACGATACAAATATTTCTGTAAACAAACATCCACGATATAAATATTTCTGTAAACAAACATCCACGATACAAATATTTCTGTAAACAAACATCCACGATACAAATATTTCTGTAAACAAACATCCACGATATAAATATTTCTGTAAACAAACATCCACGATACAAATATTTCTGTAAACAAACATCCACGATACAAATATTTCTGTAAACAAACATCCACGATATAAATATTTCTGTAAACAAACATCCACGATACAAATATTTCTGTAAACAAACATCCACGATACAAATATTTCTGTAAACAAACATCCACGATACAAATATTTCTGTAAACAAACATCCACGATATAAATATTTCTGTAAACAAACATCCACGATATAAATATTTCTGTAAACAAACATCCACGATACAAATATTTCTGTAAACAAACATCCACGATACAAATATTTCTGTAAACAAACATCCACGATATAAATATTTCTGTAAACAAACATCCACGATACAAATATTTCTGTAAACAAACATCCACGATACAAATATTTCTGTAAACAAACATCCACGATATAAATATTTCTGTAAACAAACATCCACGATATAAATATTTCTGTAAACAAACATCCACGATACAAATATTTCTGTAAACAAACATCCACGATACAAATATTTCTGTAAACAAACATCCACGATATAAATATTTCTGTAAACAAACATCCACGATATAAATATTTCTGTAAACAAACATCCACGATACAAATATTTCTGTAAACAAACATCCACGATATAAATATTTCTGTAAACAAACATCCACGATATAAATATTTCTGTAAACAAACATCCACGATACAAATATTTCTGTAAACAAACATCCACGATATAAATATTTCTGTAAACAAACATTCACGATACAAATATTTCTGTAAACAAACATTCACGATACAAATATTTCTGTAAACAAACATCCACGATACAAATATTTCTGTAAACAAACATCCACGATATAAATATTTCTGTAAACAAACATCCACGATATAAATATTTCTGTAAACAAACATCCACGATATAAATATTTCTGTAAACAAACATCCACGATACAAATATTTCTGTAAACAAACATCCACGATACAAATATTTCTGTAAACAAACATCCACGATATAAATATTTCTGTAAACAAACATCCACGATACAAATATTTCTGTAAACAAACATCCACGATACAAATATTTCTGTAAACAAACATCCACGATACAAATATTTCTGTAAACAAACATCCACGATACAAATATTTCTGTAAACAAACATCCACGATATAAATATTTCTGTAAACAAACATCCACGATATAAATATTTCTGTAAACAAACATCCACGATATAAATATTTCTGTAAACAAACATCCACGATACAAATATTTCTGTAAACAAACATCCACGATACAAATATTTCTGTAAACAAACATCCACGATATAAATATTTCTGTAAACAAACATCCACGATATAAATATTTCTGTAAACAAACATCCACGATATAAATATTTCTGTAAACAAACATTCACGATACAAATATTTCTGTAAACAAACATTCACGATACAAATATTTCTGTAAACAAACATCCACGATACAAATATTTCTGTAAACAAACATCCACGATATAAATATTTCTGTAAACAAACATCCACGATATAAATATTTCTGTAAACAAACATCCACGATATAAATATTTCTGTAAACAAACATCCACGATACAAATATTTCTGTAAACAAACATCCACGATACAAATATTTCTGTAAACAAACATCCACGATATAAATATTTCTGTAAACAAACATCCACGATATAAATATTTCTGTAAACAAACATCCACGATATAAATATTTCTGTAAACAAACATTCACGATCTATTTATTCTGTCCACATGCCAGCAAGTTTTTTTACTGGAAGCTCCAGATTTAGACCGTTGACGTCACATATCTTTATACGACCCCTATAGTGACCACGACCCCTATAGTGACCACGACCCCTATAGTGACCACGACCCCTATAGTGACCACAACATCCCCTATAGTGACCACGACCCCTATAGTGACCACGACCCCTATAGTGACCATGACCCCTATAGTGACCACGACAACATCCCCTATAGTGACCACGACCCCTATAGTGACCACGACCCCTATAGTGACCACGACCCCTATAGTGACCACGACAACATCCCCTATAGTGACCACGACCCCTATAGTGACCACGACCCCTATAGTGACCACGACAACATCCCCTATAGTGACCACGACCCCTATAGTGACCACGACCCCTATAGTGACCACGACCCCTATAGTGACCACGACAACATCCCCTATAGTGACCACGACCCCTATAGTGACCACGACAACATCCCCTATAGTGACCACGACCCCTATAGTGACCACGACCCCTATAGTGACCACGACCCCTATAGTGACCACGACAACATCCCCTATAGTGACCACGACCCCTATAGTGACCACGACCCCTATAGTGACCACGACCCCTATAGTGACCACGACCCCTATAGTGACCACGACCCCTATAGTGACCACGACAACATCCCATATAGTGACCACGACCCCTATAGTGACCACGACCCCTATAGTGACCACGACCCCTATAGTGACCACGACCCCTATAGTGACCACGACAACATCCCCTATAGTGACCACGACCCCTATAGTGACCACGACCCCTATAGTGACCACGACCCCTATAGTGACCACGACAACATCCCCTATAGTGACCACGACCCCTATAGTGACCACGACCCCTATAGTGACCACGACCCCTATAGTGACCACGACCCCTATATTGACCACGACCCCTATAGTGACCACGACCCCTATAGTGACCACGACAACATTCCATATAGTGACCACGACCCCTATAGTGACCACGACCCCTATAGTGACCACGACCCCTATAGTGACCACGACCCCTATAGTGACCACGACCCCTATAGCGACCACGACAACATCCCCTATAGTGACCACGACCCCTATAGTGACCACGACCCCTAAATTGACCACGACCCCTATAGTGACCACGACCCCTATAGTGACCACGACCCCTATAGTGACCACGACAACATCCCCTATAGTGACCACGACCCCTATAGTGACCACGACCCCTATAGTGACCACGACCCCTAAATTGACCACGACCCCTATAGTGACCATGACCCCTATAGTGACCACGACCCCTATAGTGACCACGACCCCTATAGTGACCATGACCCCTATAGTGACCACGACCCCTATAGTGACCACGACAACATCCCCTATATTGACCACGACCCCTATAATGACCACGACCACTATAGTGACCACGACCCCTATATTGACCCCAAATTTTCCCTATACCGAATCATCGACTTTTCAATTAGCAGAACTGAGCGTGTGTTGCCTAGCAACAGACAGACCTGTCCTCGTTCAGACAATCGAGGCCTAAGAAGCGGCTTTAAATATTTCACCGGAAGTGTGCTATTTATAGCTTTCAGATTAACATTTTATCCCTAGCCTGGCGCAGAGACATATCCTTAGAACATGGTACAGTTTCATATGGCAAGGGCAGGATATGGTACATAGGATGTGGGATATCGGATGGGATATGGTACATAGGATGTGGGATATAGGATGGGATATGGTACATATGATGTGGGATATCGGATGGGATATGGTACAT